CTTGAAATCCCTCACCCCAACACGAAACTGTCTGTTTACCGGCTTGTACGTTTTGTAATGCTCTTGTTGTTACGTGCAGTCCGTCTGTGTGCTGATGGCACTCCTGCCGCACAGTCGAAGTTCACTTTGTCTGCCTGAGACCCATAGCTGTAAAAAAAGGTGTGGCTTCTCGCTCGGGTTGGCTGGGTAAGCGCCGGGTCCCTTGTTGCGGCTGTACCACTCGACCGATCGATAAGCGAACCCGATCGATCGTGTGACTTTCGGGCCGGCACAGGAGGAGGATAGGTTCCGTATCCGAGGCAACCTAAGTGTTGGTAGACAATCACCACAAGAGAATCAGTTGTAGAACGGTGCGCCATGTGGGAGATTCCGAATGGAAAATGCTCAAGCGATGACGGCACTGGGCCAACGCTTGACTGGTCTAAAATACACGCACTTTGAACTTTGAACTTGACTTAATAACGGATAACAATATCCTCTAATGTACAGATGTTGATCAAACTCGCGCAACATCACCCTGATTTTGGGAATACAGTTCAGTCTTCAATATCATACTTGTGTATTGATGGCTATAGATAAAGTATATTTATTCCTGATTTTATCTCCCACTTCTATGTTCGTAGTTTTCTTCTGTCACCGTTTGAATCAGCGTGAACTTGAGCGTTACGATAAAATTTGTAGTAGAAAGTTATATCTCAGATTTGGAAAGTATTTTATTCGATGTAGCATGAGAATTCATTATTTTTAATAAATGATTTCGGTAACTGCTACTCTTTAAATGCATTCGCGGACGTTATATTTTTCACAGATGAAGGTTGGTATATCTTCTCGCTTAGGGTTGATAGTAAAAAACGGGCAGACCTAATTAAATATTACTTTTTACATTTATGCAGTCCGCGGAGGGGTCAGGTTCAATGTCAAATTCATTGAAATACCGTGCAGCAGCTGAGATTTCAATTTAATTGAAAACTTTTTACAGTATCAGAAACAGGGATAAGTCAGCTGTTATGACATTGGTCGTCAATGGTCAGGGTGCGGGGTGTATTAGAGGAACCTGGAAAAATGGAACAAGGACAAGATGAAAGTACAATACCTGTATGAAGTCTGAGTCACTTTAGTCAATAAATGCCAGTTAGGTTGAAGAGAACTATCTTCGCCGTATTTTGCTATGCAAGCAGCAGAATGGAAAACATATGGAACAACTTTTATAATATGAATGCAATTTTTTCCGTAATATTTGTTCTTTCTTTCGGAATTTTGTCTCCGACGTAGTTAGCGAGATCGTTCAACGCAAAAACAACCAGTTGGGAAAAAACAAGAGCCTACATCAGGGGATATTGTTGTCCGTTATTAAGTCCCTCTTAAAATCGTCACCTTTTCAAAGACGGAACCAATTCAACATTTTTTTCATTCAAGTTGTTGGATTTTCGGATACTTTTGGGTTATGGATGTGGATCTTGGATCACGTTTGACATCCAAGTTAAACGTTTAAACCCGGACGACTCCAAATCCATGAGGATAGCAGATTCCTTATCCATTTGATGAATTTCTCAGGGATGTTCATTTTCCATAGGAGGCGATTGATTAGCACGCAATCATCTACATGTTTGCTTGTTCTGTACATCCGCTCATTATACCTTTGCATTTTCCGTCATTTTTACAGCACTCGCAGAATACCATCACGAAAATCCCGAGGTTGTCCGGGCGAGATTTTTCTTCCGAGATGAGTTTCTGGTAAGTGACTAGTTTTCCATTACTCGATTTGCACGAATATTACCAATTGGGTGGAGCGTACTGGTAACTTGAAACTTGTAGTCGATTAGGAATTACTGAAACAAAGAGCGCTAGGTTTTACGTAAACAGATTAGTGAAATACGCGTCGAGGATTGGTCGCGATGTGCTTGACGTGAGTCACTTTACCCGATGATCTGGTGCCACAAATAAACACAAAGAACGCATAGAACGTAAAAGGAATACGTCACGATATTTGTAATGAAATTGTCGAATTATTGGCCGGGGCAACATTGCGGTAGTTCACTTACGAGTAAATCATGGATCGATTTCCTTTTTGTAAGGTTTGTTGTGCTGTGGTTTGTTTGGCACACAGTCAAGACCCAGACGCTTATATAAAAAATATTATCTGTAATATTATGGATGATGTTTTGCCCTACATGCTCCTAAATATCGGAATTCATGTAATCTGGGGTACGTTCATACCCGGTTCTCTAATGTTACTCGACTGTCGGAATAGGACGGTAACTTTCGTAAAGCAATGCGACTGATCAAGGAGTATTGATCGTGCCGAGTTTTCATGTCCCTGGACGATTGTAGCCGCTTTTCGATTTCGGTCAACTCGCAGTACCGGAAGTCGATCGAGGCAACTTCCCCACTCATGCTTCATGGTAGACAATGCAATTTTCGTTGACGAAATCACACATTGTTCGCAAAACAATGATGATTTTTCTCTGGATTTGTTGACGTTCTCGTCGCATAATGACCAGTAATGGACTAAAATTTCTGATAATGCAAACGTTCGTTTGTAAAGTTACAGCATATCGGAGGAGGATACATACACACGCGAACGTCATTATGGCTTACTCCGGCGGCATCCGGTCAGGTCACGTGTTACAGCTATTCATTCTGTTATCCATCAAACGAGGGTCAATTTTTCAGCCATTATGCCTGCGGGTTTATGGATGATATGGTT